CAAATTATTACATTCTAGTTATTGCTAGTAATTATACTTTTCCATGGAAACAGGGCCAGAGTAGTGTTTACATAATAACCTGTAGTGATGCAATGTTTTCTTGAAGAACAAACAATTCAGATAATTATTGATTGACTTTAAAACATAGCTTCTAGTCTGACCTTTGGAGTTTCTGTTGCTGAAACTGATTGCACACAGATAATTTTGTAAAAGAACACAATGTCCAATGCAAACTTCTTTACTAATTAAGCTAAAGATCATTTGACTAAAAGATGACTTTCAGGAGACCAATTTCATCAAGGTTTAACGTTCAGAGATTATCTCAGGGTGATGTTTTGGATGGGTCATTTTCAACCTCCTTGGCTCTAGGATTAAAAATTCTGTTCCTCAGAGTTGACAGAGGACATTATCCTGTGTGACCGTCACAGTAACCTTGATAGGTGAGGCTTATTATTCCTATTTTACAGAGACTCAGAGAGGTCTAATTGCTTGCCCAAGGCCACACCAGGTCTAAGTGATCCAAGGTCTCCTTCTCTCTGGGGAGCGACAGGTTGAAGCACTCCAGAAAGAAAGTGTTATGTCTTTCCTTTTCTTGGTCCAAGCCCTCCTCCTCCAGATGGCTGACTTGTATTAGTCCTTGGGATGACTTCTCACACTCTCAGGCTCTGCCTGGGTGTCTCTCAACACTTGTTGGCATGTCTCACCTGAAGGTTCAAATCTGGATCTTGTTTGTTAGTCCTATACTTCCACCAGGACTCACTCAGGTCCCCTGGATGGGGGCCACATGTCCTTCTTACCACATTTCTCTTTCCCAACCCTTACTCTAACAGTGCTCTATGAGGCCATCAGAAGAGGGTGTTGACTGACCAATGAACTGACTGACTGACTAGCTAAAGAAGTGACTGATAGAATGACAAACTGTCTCCATATAACCACCTTTGACAATTCACAAAAGGGAAGCCAGACCAGAATAATAAATGGCTCCAAAGCTAATGAGGATGCATGGAGAGAAGGGGTCCAATTCCTCACTCAGAGTCGGGTCTCATGGTTGATTTGGGCTTGGGTGAGAGGGAGAGAGATAATTCAGAGAGAATTCTGCTGGGGAGTGAAGTAGATGGTGATATCAGAATAGAGTCTGAAACTAGGAGGGGGACCAGGTGTGTGTGGGAAAGGAATGGATTCAGTTGGTTCTTGTTGCCTTTGCAGTGCTTGAAGGTTTATCAGGAGGAGGGAAGGAAATGGCCCTCAGTGGGTGTCTACTGTGTGCTGTGCACTGGACCACGTGTCCTAGATGCCTTACCTCCTGTCTTGGTTAACTTGTGCTGCTATAACAGAAATGCCACAAGTGGATGGCTTCAACAAACAAAAGTTTATTCTCTCACCGTCTAGAAGACTAGAAGTTCAAATTCAGGGTGTCAACTCCAGGGGAAGTCTTTCTCTGTCAGCTCTGGAGAAAGGCTCTTGTCATCAATCTTCCCCTGAACTAGAAGTTGCTTTGCACAGGGACCCTGGATCCAAAGGATGTGCTGTTCTTCTGGCACTACTTTCCTGGTGGTATGAGGTCTCCATGTCTCTCTGCTTGCTTCTCTCTTTTATATCTCAAAGGAGACTGACTTAAGGCACAACCTAATCTTGTAGACTGAGTCCTATCTCATTAACATAACTGCCTCTATCTTGCCTCATTAACATCATAAAGGTAGGATTTACAACACATAGGAAAATCACATCAGATGACAAAATGGTGGACAGTCATACAATACTGGGAATCATGGCCTAGCCAAGCTGACAGATATCTTGGAGGGACATGATTCAATCCATGATACCTCCTTTATGTAGCTATTCTTATCCTTACTTTACAGATGGTGGAATGGAGGCTCAGAAAGATGGGGAGACATGTCTAGGCTCCCACAGTGGGCTGGTAGCAGAGCTTGGATTTAAACTCAGGTCTGAGGACCCAAAGCCTACATCCAGCCCCACTTCTCCGTGGGATTTGCTGTTTGCAGCTGGAGGATGACTGAAGGAGGCAGGAATCCTCCTTAGCCTTTCTGGCAAGGAACAGGCAGAGAAATCCTTCCTGTCAGGCTGGTCTCTGAAATCTTGTCCCTCATCTCCCTGGCTCATTTGGTGAGAGGGATGCTGATAAATGCCCAGGGAGAAGGTAGCTAGAGCCAGACCCTCTGACTGGCAGATGGAGTCTCTTACTGACCAGATACTTAGTATACAAAGTTTCTGACTGACTGATAGACTTCAGGGAGACTGTCTGATCAGCTTACTGACCAGACAAGTCACGAAGAGACAGCTGAACCAATGACTGGCTGATTTATCAGTTGATACACATGGGCATGCCAAGTAACTGGCTGACAGGCAGACAGGCATATAGAACCCCTGCCTGCCAGCTTCTGGGTTATGGGCTCCCAGCCCTTTGAACCATCTGAATTACTTATAGCCCCAAAACCTGGTAGCCTACCTGGGAGAGAAAGGGGCTAGAATTGTTTCCTGGGACCGGGCTCCATGCCCCTCCACTCACTCCCATTTCAGACTCAGCCTTGGCCCGCAGGCCACCACTTGGCACAGGCTCACTCCCACAGCTGACCCTTCCTCCTCTCAGGGCTGGTCCCTGACATAACTTCCAAGGACAGGGAAGCATCTCAGTGTCCCTTCCCTGTGAGAAGGACACAAAGCCCTGGTGTCAGAACCCTCCTTCCAAGGGGAGTTCTATCCTCAATCAGAGAGTCAGACTGATTGCTGCCAGCCCCTCAGGGAGGCCTCAGCCCACAGGAAGTACTTGGAGTGGGCTGACAACCTGCCTGTCCAGCCCCGCTCAGTGACAGACTGATCACCCAACCCACTGACTGACACCTGCTCTCAGAGCCCACAGAGAAGTGACCAAGTCTTCCCTCCCAGGCCTAGAGGCTCAGGTCGTGGACTCTATCCACCCCCTTCCCCCCCAAAAAAAAGTCAGAAACAGCCATATCTTTGAAGGATAGAAAATCCTTCAAAGCTGAGATTGAAGCTGCTGAGAGGGCCAGAGGTGGGACTGGAGCGGGGACCACACAGGTGAGCAGGTAGGTGAGCAGGCTCAGGGCATGAGCCAGTTAGAAGGTGGGGGGCTGGAGCCAGGGCTAGACAGTTTAGGGTGCAGGGAAGATGCCCCCAAGTGTGCCCAGGAGCCAAGCAATGGATCCAGGATCTGACCTGGGACTCAGACTGGGTCTGCCTCTCTGCGAGATTGGGCCACGGGTAGGGAAAATGTTCTGGGCTGGTCCACTGACCTTTATTCTCCCTCCCCCATTCAGTTCTCTGGGTCACTCAGATCACTGACTTTTGCTCTCCTAGCCTCAGCACCAGCCCTTTCATCTGGTTGGCCTGGCACCTTGGTGGGCAGGCACTGCTTCCTTTGAGGTGACCTGGCTAGGTTTGGTTGGGCTGAGGCAGGGAAGAGCACTGTGCTTCTTTCCTGCATCAAGTGACGCTGAGTTTAACACTTGGGCTTGAGTGCCTGGACCATATCAACCAGCAGAGCTTGTGTCCTGAGCGTCGGTGTTCTCATCAGAAGCACAGAAATAATTAAAGCACCAAAGGTATAGAGTTGTGGAGAGAGTTTCCAAGCCAGTGCTTGTAAGGCGTGTAGCACAACACCTAGAATATGGCCCCTAGCCAGTCTCTGCTTGGTGAGAGGAGCTGAGATCCAGAAATGGTCCCCTCAATGTCTGGAAGAATCTACTTTGAACCCCCTTACTTCCTCTTCTTCAAAATGACCTCTTCAAAGTCTCCCCTCACACTCCCGTCACTGGCTCAGCTCCTCAGCTCCTCCCTGTCAGGTGTCAGTTGTGCTTGGTATCTCCTTGTTCTCTCTGTTTGTGGCCCCAAAAGGGACTCCTCCCCAACCATAGCACTTCCATTTCCTCGGTCAAATTCCTCAGGCTATTTGAGTAGACATTTCTCAAAAGAAGATATACAGATGACCAATAACCACATGAAAAAGATGCTCAATGTCATTAGTTTGCATTAGGGAAAAGGCAAATCAAAAGTACACGGAGCTACCACTTCACACCCACTAGTAGTTGCTGTTTTTGACTCATGGCAACTCCATGTTTGTCAGAGTAGAACTTTTCTCCATAGGGTTTTCAACGGTTGATTTACATCACCAGGTCTTTCTTCCAAGGTGCCTCTGGGTGGAATCAAACCTTCAACCTTTCAGTTAGCAGTTGAACGTGTTAACATTTTGTACCATCCAGGGATTTCTCATACTCACTAGGATGCCTATACTAAAAAAGTCAGATAATAACAAGTGTCATAGAGGATGTGGAGAAATTGGAACCCTCATACGTTGTCAGTGGGAATGGAAAATGGTACAGCCACTGTAGAAAAGAGTCTGATGGTTCCTCAAAAAGATAAACATAAAGTTACCGTATGACAGCAATTCCACTCCTAGTTATCTACCCAAGAAATTGAAAACACATTCACACAAAAACTTGTGCACAAATATTCATAGCAGCATTATTCACAAAAGCCAAATAGCAGAAACATCTCAAACATCCATCAACTGAGGAATGGATAAACAAAATGTGGTATATTAAAAAATGGAATATATTTAACCATAAAAAAGGAATGGAGTACTGATACATGCTACATCATAGATGAACCTTGAAAACATGCTAAGTGAAAGAAATCAGTCACATAAAGTCATATAATTGTATGGCTTCATTTATATGAAATGTTCGGAATAGTCAAATCTATAGAGACAGAAAGTAGATTCATGGTTGCCAGGGCTTGGGGGGTGGGAGAATGGGGAGCCACTATTAATGGGTATGGGGTTTTTCATTAGGGTGATGAAAATGTTCTGGAGTTAGATAGTAGTGATGGTTGTACGACTTGAATTGTGAATATACTAAAAACCGCTGCATTGTACACGTTGAAACGGTGAATTTTATGGTATGTGAATTATATCTCAATTTAAAAAAGAAAAAAAAAATTCCTCGGTCTCTCAGGGACACGGCATGAAGAACACAAAACCGTCGTTTGTGGAGGTTCAGGGCCTTCGTAGCCCCCTCCTTAATTGTCTTCCAGGTCTGGAGATGGAATGAGAAGAGTAATGACCCCAGGAGAGTCCCCCAGGTCAGAGGTATCCTCAGATCACCTCAGGCTGCAGAAGGAGCTTGTTGAATGAGGGGAAACTCCTTCCAGAGTTGAGAGGGGTTTGAAACAATGGTGGAGGCTTCCGGCAGGAAGTGGGCCTCAGAAGGAGAGGAAGGTCAAGGATACTTGGGCTGCTTAGAAAGGCAGGTGGTTTCCATCTAAATGAAGAGGCAGAGTCTCCCAAAGTCAGACTTCCAGGCTCCCTGCTGAGATTAAACAACAGGAGACCCTGGGAGGTGCCTCTGAAGGGGTTCTGCTTTCATCTCACCTAAGTGAATAGGTTACCACGGGAGAAAACCAGCATAATAATGGAGGCCGAGGGTCCAGGTTCTAACCACAGTCCTGCCTCCTGAGTTAGTTTGTCCAGGAGAAGGTGAAATGAGAAGATCTCTGAGACCCCTTTTGCACTTATCAGCAACATGGTTTGCTGGTATAATTTGAGCCTTGGGCTGATTAGCTCAGTGATTTTATACAGGGTAGTTCTTTGTGGGGATGTTGGAATCTGTTATGAACTATACCAAGGATAAAACTTTATTCTGGTTTTTCCTTAGTCCTGACTGTGGACTGAGCCTTGACCCTGAACCTGACCTCAGACCCCTGATCCTCAACTGAGCCAGATAGACCTAGCCCCAGACCCAGACGCTGCCTTCCAAGAACACCAGGTGTCTCACACACACCTCTAGGCCCAAGGGGGGACTGAGGGAGTGTGCTTCTCTCATCCCCACTGCTCAGGTCATTGTTCACGTGCAAGTTTGTGCACATGGAGGGGTTGGCAGCTTCTCTCTAGAAGGAAGGTTTATGCTGGGAATGGGGTGAATGTGTAATAGTGGCCCCCAGCAGGGAGTTGGCCAGCATGGGCAGATGGAACACACACCCTGTTAGGAAGATCCCTTCCAGCACTGTAGCCTGGGAATCAGAACAGCAGAGGTGCTTTGATTCTTAGATTTTCAGCAACCGCTAAGGCTCCTTCCTCCTGAAACACCTTGGTTCCAGGGTCTAGGGTTACCTGGGGCAGGACCGTTCTCTGGGATTCCATCTCCATTCTCACTCCCTGGCTGTCTGTCCCACAGGGCCAGCAGGTGAGGGAACCCAGATGCCAGACAAGGACATCAAAGTCACATTGGACATAGAAGGCACACCTGGAGACAAAGCCAGACCAGGCACTGAGGCTTTGCGGCCAAGTGTGTTCCACAGCATCAAGGTACCTCTGGGGCCTGGCAGAGGCATGGGCATCCAAACCTAGCAGAGCAGGGTCTGCCGCTTACTGGCTGTATAATGCCAAGCAGTTGTTGCCTTTCTCAGCCTCTATTTCCTCATCTGTAGAATGGGTGGCTGTGAGGCTCAAAAGGATGATGTACAAAAGCACTTAGATTGGTTTCAGACACATGGAAGGTGCCCAGTAACTGTTTCCTATCCCCCAAGGACGAAAGAGGGCTACTCTGTGGGTGGTGGGGGCCAAGACCCCTGACTTCCCTAGAGGGATAAGAAGGGCCCAGGGGTCCTGAACCTGCATGAATACTAAGGAGTTCTGGCTCCATTAAGGGCAGCGCCAAACATCTGAACACCCACTGAAGCACCTACAGGGGCTGTTCACACACGATCTAATTTAGTTCTCACAACCTTGGGATGTCCTTATTATACAGGTGAGGAAACTGAGACTCAGAAGAAAGGACTGAATGCTATGAAGCGCTGGCATGAAAACTCCAATTTTTTGTTTTTAAATTCTTTGAAGAAGGTTTTTCTTCTCTTAGAAATCCTGCCAGTTTTTCAGGAGGAGGACTGAAGGCAGGCTGGGATATTTGGGGGAGGGTGGGGTGGGGCAGGGTGGGGCTGGGTTGAGGTGGGGCAGCTTGGGGATTTGGTGTGTACAGGCAGTCTTACAGGGAAGCTCTAGGGGAGTTCCAGGTGAGGGTGGGATGGAGAAGGATCTGGGTGAATCTGGCTTCCTGGGGAAAGTGGCAGGGTGGTAGAAGCAGGGTGGAAAGTCCAGCTTATCTCAAAGGGGAGCTCTGGGGGTCAGAGAGGGGTCCCACCATTCCTGGCCACATGAAAGCCCTACTCTCAGCCATGTGTGTCTTGGGTGGCCCCCAGACTCCTGGAGTGAATTCAGGACAGCTTTTCTAGTTTTCAGGCCTGTGTGAGAAGCCTTGGGCTACTCCACTAACTCTTTCTCACTCTCTGTCTCTCTGTCTCCTTTGGTCTCTCCCTCTCTTCTTGACTCTCCCTAACTTTTCTCTCCTCCTTTGCATCTATTTTTTCTGACTCTGTTTCCCCATCTCTATTCTTTGCCCCTCTTCTGACCTCACTCTCTCTCTCTTTCCTCAACTCCATCTCTCTCCATGTCTCCCCCTCCACTGATTGTTTCCCCACTCATTCTGATATATCTCCCCTGTGTCGTTTCTCTGTCCCTCTGCCCTCTGACATCTCTGTGAAAACCCTGGCAGTTTTTCGTCCTGTGCCACAGCCTGCTGCAGCTGGCACAGCTCATGATCTCTGGCTACCTCAAGAGCTCCATCTCCACTGTGGAGAAGCGCTTCGGCCTCTCCAGCCAGTCCTCAGGGCTGCTGGCTGCCTTCAACGAGGTACTGGCCTGGGCCTGGGTGTACCCCTCCTCCCTCACCACCCTACTACAAACCTTCCTCTCCCAGTGCCTTTGGGCAATCTCCATCCTAGCCCCTTCCCCAAATCCTCCTTAGCCTGCCCCTTCTAAAGCTTCCTGGCCAAGAAACTGACCAGCCACGTGCTTATGAAATAGGCCCAGAGAAGTCCACAACCTGTCCTGGTTTTCTAAAGACCTCGCCATCTTTCCCTTGGGAAGACTCTAATGGGGGACGTGGGATATTTGAGAGCTAGCTGGGATCCCCATGTCCACCCTCTCTTCCTCTGGATCCTTTACCTTTACCTGTCCTGGAAGGAATCAGAGGAAGTCACTTCAACAGTAGCAACCAGAGAGGCTTAAATTAGATCAGAGGCAGAACTTTCAAACCTGGGGGAGGGTGATGGAGGAGGGAATGATTCCATGGCCTGGAGTGTCAGTCTCAGAGTTGCTCAGGGATCCTCGGGCCTCTGCCTCTGGGGCCTCTCCAGCTAGGAGTGGAGGAGCTGCTTTGGGTGAATTTGGAGATCACAGTCCAGCTGTCACTTCCTCCCCCACCAGATGTTTTTATCCTCAGAGAAGGCAGCTGTCCAGGGAACACTCTCTTCCTCCCCAGTACCCAGCAGATTTCTGTGAAATTCTCCCACTCCTTGGGTAATGTGTCATATTCCTCCCACTCCAAGGCCTGCCGGCTATACCGTGTCCCCAGATGTCCCTCATCGCCCCACCTCCAGATCTCAGCTGTGGGAAGTGAAAGTCATTAGCTTGCTCTGGGACCTTGGGCAAGTCACCCCCCTAAGGCCTCAGTGGCCCATCTATAAAATGGGGAGTGGTTGTCCTTCTGAGTGTCTGTCCTCCCACCAGCCCTACTTCCCAGTGAGGAGCCTGGGGCTCAGAGGGGTGAGTATTTCACCCACGGTCACCAGCCAGTAAATGGTGGAGCTGGGACTCACAGCCTGGCTTCTGACTGCAGAACCTGCCCCTACCCTGTAAGCTCTCAAGTCCCCTCCAGTGCCCACATCCTGGAATTTTGGTTCTAGGATTCAGAATTCCAAGGCTTAGTTGTCTGGCTTTAGACTTAATGAGTTTCTCTCATTCTTAACTTCCCAGATACTCCAAAAGCTTTTCCTTGACTGCCTACCCTCCTCCATATTCTAAATGGGGTCCAAGCCATGTTCCAAAATGAAACTGAAATTCTTGCCTTGTCCTCATTTTTCTCCCATAATGGGGCAGTAGGACCCCTCCGAGAAGGATCCAGAATCTGTATTTATAAGAAAGACCTAGAAGATTGTTACTCAGCCAGCTAGTCCACCACACAGATTGGAAAACTGAGGTTGGCCATAGCAATAAGGATGGTGTGGGCCTCTTCCACCAGGCTATGTCCCACTTTAATGGGTCCTCTTGTCCTTTTGCAGGTGGGAAACACAGCCCTCATTGTGTTTGTGAGCTATTTCGGCAGCCGAGTACACCGGCCTCGACTGATCGGCTGTGGGGCTGTCCTTGCGGCCCTGGCAGGCCTGCTCATGAGCCTCCCACACTTCATCTCAGAGCCATACCGCTATGACCACACCAGCCATGGTAAGAGCCAGAGGGGCAGGGTTAGAGATGGACATGTGGAGCTGCATTTTGTGCACCATGGCCATCTGTAGACCATCATCAGTCAGGATGAGTCCCAGCTTCCCAAGGCACCTGCTATCCCCCAACCCCATTGCCTCCCTGAGTCCCAGTCCTTGGATGTAGGATAGAGTGTGTCCCAGGGCAGTGTTGAGGCCCTCTGGCCTTACTTAGTAAGAGTCTGCTTATACGTCACTGTATTTTGTTGAGATGGAGGTGAATTTAGAATACATCTGAATTTTGGGCTTGACATACAGTAGGTCCTTATGAAATATTTGTGGAATAATAATAGCAGTATTATACACCACTTATGATGCACCAGACACTAGTGTCAGCACTTTACATGTATTAATGCATTTAATCCTCACAAGAAACCAAGACATTGAGGAAATAATGAATGAATGAATGAATGAATAGACAAATGAAAACATAAAAGAATTTTAAACAGGAACCGTGAAGCCCCATACAGTCCAGTGGGATTTTGTTGAGGGCCTACTTGACAAATTGGTGCCTGTCCCTTAAAGAATGACCCAAGACCTGAGTATTCACTTCCTTTCATCCCCCCCCTATCTATTCATCCATCCATCTACTCATCCATTCACCCATCCACCCAACCACTCACCCATCCAATCATTCATCCATCCATCCACCCACCCATCCGTCCATCCGTCCGGTGGCTCACCCAACAAACCCTTAGTGTGCCAGACTATCTCAGGGGACTCAGTCCTTGCCTCCAGGGATCTCTCAGTCTGTGGGAAGGAGACAGAGACAAATAATGACCCCACAGTGTGTCAGTTGTGTGAGGAGGGAAGCCGAGGGTCTATCGGAGCCCAGGGAAGGAGCCCATGCCCCAGCCTAGCAGCAAGAGTTTCCCAGAGGAGGCTGTCAGAGAGCGTCTGTGCTCCCTTGCCCTCCCATCAGCTCACACCTCCAGAGCTCCCACTCTGTGCCAGGGCAGTGTTGAGGCCCTCTGGCCTCGCTTAGTAAGAGTCTGCTTGTACTTCACTGTGTTTTGTTGAGATGGAGGTGAATTTACAATACATCTGAATTTCAAGCTTGACATACAGTAGGTCCTTAGCAAATATTAGTAATATTTAGTAAATATTAGTGGAATAATAATAGCAGTATTATACACCACTTATGATGCACTAGACACTACTGTCAGCACTTTACATGTATTAATACATTTAATCCTCACAAGAAGCCAAGAATTGATGAAATAATGAATGAATGAACAGACAAATGAAAACATAAAAGAGTTTTAGGAGAGATGAAACAGGTATGACCAGCCCCAAGGAGCTCCCAGCTGAGTGTGGGTTGGAGTGAGCATGGGCAACTCTGCTACAATGTATAAAGAGTACAACACCTTAGGAGGTGGCCAGGGGGAGCCATTAGAACCCTGAGTAGGGGGGAACACTTGCAGCTGGAGAGCTGGAGGAGGTGGCACTTGAAGTGAAGTTTCAGGTGGAGGAGCTATGTGGGCCAGGACAGGACAGTGGGAAGTACGGAGTGTGCCTGAGGAATGCAGAGTAGTTTATCTGGGCCCAAGTGGAGAGTTGTCAAGAGGGCTAATTGTAGTTTATCTAGGCCTGAGTGGAGAGGTGTCAAGAGAACTAATTGGAATGCTGAAAAACAATACTTTCTCACTTATTTGTCCAGAATTTTTACTTTATTAATGCTATTTCTGTGCAAGGTCATACACATGCTTTTCCACCCCGCCCTAAGCTCCCTGTGAAGCCCTGAGCAAGCACTTCTCCTGTCTGAGCCTCAGTCTTCACATCTGTCCAATTAGTGAACTAGACTCAGTGACCTCCCAGAACCCATCCTGCTCTGACATTCCAGGCTATTTCGTACATCTATTCTTTATCCAATACTTACTAAGTTCTACTATGTGCCAGGAGCCCTGGTGGTGCAGTGGTTAAGAGCTCAGCTGCTAACCAAAAGGTTAGCAGTTCGAATCCCCCAGCCGCTCCTTGGAAACCCTATGGGGCAGTTCTACTCTGTCCTATAGGGTCGCTATGAGTCAGAATCAACTAGACAGCAATGGGTTTATGGGTATTATGTATCAGGCCGTCTGCTGGGCACTGAGGACACAGTGGTGGAAGCCAGGCATAATCTCTAAATCATCATCGTATCTAATGTCTACTAAGCCCTATACCCAGGCAACACTCACCACTCTTAATGTTTATAACCTTTGGGGCAGGAGTTATCATTTATAAGTGAGGAAACCGAGGCTCAGAGAGGGAAGGAACTTTCCCAAGGCCCACAGCTAGTAGAACTATGACACACACAGGTAGCTGGCCCTGGAGCCCCTGCTCTGGACTACTTAGTTATTCTGCTTCTGAATTCCTTCTCTGTAAAGCTTCTACTCTAGGAGGTTCATTTGAGAGATGAGGAAATGAAGGCTTAGAGAGGGCAAAGACCTTTGTCAAAGTCACGTGGTGAAGCCCAGGCAGCCTCTGTTGAAGGCCTATGTCCAGGTTCTTGATTTTGGTTCACATGGCACTTTACTGTCCCAGGGAGGAGCTCTCTAGGCTGGGTGGACACAGCTCAGAGCCCCAGCTCCCAGAAAGGGCTGGGCAGGCCGCTAACAAAAAGCCACTTCTATATCTGCATTTGGGGAGCCGCAGGGAACAAATGTCTATTACTAAATTAGTACTTTACTGTGCTCTGCAGCTGTGCCCTAAGCTGACACCAAACCCCAGAATGAACTCAAAGGCCACCAGAGCCCTCCACAACCCAGACCCAGCTTCCTTCAACTCAGCCCTGCCTTCAGCCCTGGCCTTGCCCTTCACTCTCTGATCCAGCCATTCTTCTCCTTTTGCCAACACAGTGCCTTTCAAGCCCCTGGTCATATGCTGTGACCTCTCCCTGGAACACTTCCCCCTTCCTTCACTCTCTGGAAAATCTTGTTTATTCTTCCAGACCCAGTTCAAACTCTACCTCCTGTAACTGTCCCACCCCACCCAAGAACCACGGTTGCCACAGCACTTCCACATACCTCTGCTCAGAGGAGGGCATAGTGTTTAAGAGCATGAACTCTGAACCCAGACTGCCCAGGTTCAAATCCTGGCTCTGCCAGTTGCTGTGTGAGCATCAGGTTCCTCATCTGTGAAATGGGTAATGAGCATACCTATCCCCTAGGCTTGTTGCAGGGGTTCAATGATTTATATACAAAGCACTTAAAGCAATGCCTTGCATTGATAAGTGCTATGTAAACATTAGCTATTGCCACACAGGAGTCCCTGGGTGGCACAATGGTTAAGCACTCAGCTACTAACAGAAAGGGTGATAGTTTGAATCCACCCAGAGACACTTTGGAAGAAAGTATTGGCAATCTACTTTAGAAAGATCACAGCTATCGAAAAACTTATGGAGCACAGTTCTACTCTGAGACACATGGGGTTACCATGAGTTAGAATCAACTCCACAGCCACTGGTTTATTGTCATATTATTTTTTATTATCATCTGTCAGAGGATCTGCCACAGGACTTCGAGGCTTCCCTGTGCCTGCCCATGACCTCAGGCCCGGCACCAGCCCCCTCCAACAGCAGCTGCTCCAGCTACACAGAGGCACAGCATCTGGCGGTGGTGGGGATAATGTTCTTGGCACAGACCCTGCTTGGAGTGGGTGCTGTGCCTATTCAGCCTTTTGGCATCTCCTACATCGATGACTTTGCCCACAACAGCAACTCACCCCTCTACATCGGTGAGTGCTCGTCCCACCCCTCCAGGCCCTGAGGGGCAGGCCAGGCTCGGGTAAAAGAGATCGCAGGTAGGGGCTGGGCATTGAATCTCTGACCCTGCCCCATCTGGCCAGCAAGTCATGGAGAATCCTTGCAGAGTTTTCTGAATCTGACCAGGGGACGCAAGCTGTTCTTGCCCACTAGGAGACAGGGCAAGCACTAACCTGCTGAGGGAAACCAAGGCTAGCAGGACCTAACCTAGGCTTTGTGTTGCAGGGATCCTGTTTGCAGTGACCATGCTGGGGCCAGGTCTGGCCTATGGGCTGGGCGGCCTCATGCTGAGCCTTTATGTGGACATTGACCGGATGCCAGAAGGTGAGCCTCCTCCTCTCCCCTCCCCAAGGGGCTGACCAGACTGATTGCTGGTCTCATAGGAGACACTGAGTCAGGGGACCTGGTTTCAAAGCCCAGCGATACCACCGACCTTGGAGAAGCCTCCTAACCTCTCTGTGCCTCAGCTTTCTCATCTTTGAGATAAGGTCAGTAATCTCTGTCCTGTCTATCTCTTAAAGCTACAGTCAGAATCCAAAGAGATGATGGAGATAAACTGTTACGTGCCATCAGAGGAGAATTGTGCTTGTTACTACTAGTGTTATGCGTCTTCACCTTATTCCCTATCTTGTTCCCTCAGGCCCCCAGCCTCATGCTCAGATATTCTGTGGAGGAGACAGATGAACACTCTCTCTTAGTCTGTAGGGGGCTCCTATCTTTAGGAGGAAACAAGACTCATAGGTAAAATAGAGAGGACAATGGCAGGGTGGAGAGAACTTTTGGAGCAGGACTCAGTGACTCAATGTGTTATCTTGAACTTTACCTGGTGACCTCTAAGGGCCCTTCTCATTCTGACCACCTCAGGGTTTGGGAAACTGTGCTGGGTGTACAATCGGGGGTCCAATGGTCTCTGTTCCAGTTCGTGGTCAGAGTGGGCCAAGGAGTGGGACGGAAGCTTGGCTTGAAGGCAGCCATGGAGGAGGAGTGTTCAGGGTCCTGGAGCTCTGGGTCTCTGCTGAGGAGTGGGAGGGGGACTCATGTTAGAACTTTCCTGCTCAGGTGTGCCTTCTGCCTCCTGCTACTTGGAAGTCCTACCCCTTACCTACAGATTTTCCCACAGGTCCTAAAAGCCTCAGGATGACATGCATATGGCTAGCTGGACGTGCAGAGGCTGCTTCTTGTACTCTGGCTTTTGTCAAGGGTGACTCCAGCCAGGACAGATCTGGGCAGCTTTGAACTGAAGTCAAGAGGGACAGCCCCATCCCAGCCCACTTCCTTCCAGGAAGCTGGGCACAGAAGCCAGATCTGGGCTCTGGTGGCAATTCCCCTCTTCCTTGAAGGAAGGTTCTGGGAGTCAGGGTTCCCTGGACACACACCCCAGTTCTAGGGGAGGGAGCATGTTTTCAGATTATGTTGACATCATCCTGGCAGATTGTCACCCCCACAGGCAGATATGGACTGAGATGCCACATCTCTAGTTCTTCTTTCTCTATGGGGGATTTCACAGGGTGGGAGGATCAGGTCTGCTGCAGGCGCAGACGAGTATGTGAGAAGCAGAGGAGTTGAGGATGTATGCGTGTGAACTCTCACTGGCCTGGCACAGAGGCAGGAGGAACAGTAAGTGGAGGAGGGACCCAAGCCCAACAAGTGCCAAAGCCAAATCCATCACCAGCTTGACAGACACATTTGCTGAGTGCTGTTTTTGTGCTCTGGCTCCTTGGGCCAGGAGGAGCGCAGGATCAAGCATCCAGGGGATCAGCCCTGCACAATGGGGGCAGTCTTATCATGCATTTGTAGTTTTATAAAGTCTTTCCAGATGCTGGGAGATTGAAGGAGGATGACCCAACTCAGCCTTGGGGTCCAAAAAGTTTGATGGGAGATTTGTACATTCCAGCCAGGAGCCTGGATTTATCTGGGATAATCTAGTCCTAGCTAAACCTGGCAGTGGATCAAAATCACTGCGGGAACTTGTTAAAGATAAAGATTCCTTTGGCTACCTTCCCACCCCACCCTCTGGTTATTCTAAGTGAGTCTTAGGCAAGACCGGGTATTTTTGACAAGGTCCTCCCTGATGATTTTAATCTTCATGCAAGTCTGAGAACCACAAGAGTAGTCTCAATCCTGTATTGAACAGTAATAAAAACAGCAGTAATACTAGTAATAAAACTTAGAAGAGCAAACACCTATATAGCAATACTATGTGCCAAGCACTATTCTAAGTACTTCACACGTATTTGTTCCCATAATTCCCAGAACAACCCTATGATGTAGGTACTATTATTATCTGTATTTTACAAAGCAAGAAACTGAGACAAAAAGAGGTTAAGTAACTTTCCCAGAGACCTGGTGGCACAGTGGCTAAGAGCTCGGCTGGTAACCAAAAGGTTAGCAGTATGAATCCACCAGATGCTCCCTGGAAACCCTGTGGAGCAGTTCTACTCTGTCCTATAGGGTCGCTAAGAGTCAGAATTCACTCAACGGCAACGCTTTTTAGTTTTAACTTGCCCAAGGTTATGCAGGCAGTATCAGAATTCAGACCCAGCAATCCATTTCTAAAGTCCATGACCTTGACTACTCTACTATAATGCCTTAGTAGTTGAAGAAGCTGAGGCCCAGAAAGGGTCAGGTTCTTGCCCAAGCTCACACAGGCCATAACTTGCAGAGCCATGGCCAGAACCCAGGTCTCCTGACTCCCAGCCCAAGCCTCTCTCTGGTGCTCCAGGCTGACTTAAGTCCCAGAAGCCAGCCCCAGGGTGCTGGCCTAGAAGTGATGGCTCACCCTGACCCTAACATCGCCACTTTTTTCTCTTCCAGGTGGCATCAGTCTGACCTCAAAGGACCCCCGATGGGTGGGTGCCTGGTGGCTGGGCTTCCTCATCTCTGCTGGCGCGGTGGCCCTGGCTGCCATCCCCTACTTCTTCTTCCCCAGGGAGATGCCCAAGGAGAAGCATGAGCTTCGCTTCCGGACAAGGATCTTGTCAATTATAGCCTCACGTGTCAGCAAAGTAAGCCTCACTCACCACCTCACTCACCATGCCCTCTGCCTTCGTAACCATAAATTTTATCCCTTCTGTGCACTGCACTTCACGGCCTACCAAACTCATTCATACCTGGGATTCACTGCATCTTCCTAACAGTCCTGCAAGGTAAGTATTACCTACCCGTTTCACAGTGAGGAAATTAAGGGCCAGGGAGTGGAAGTGACTTACCCAAGATCACAGAGGCAGCAAGGGACAGAGCTGGTATGAGAACCCAAGCCTATCCAAGTCCATGCCCTTTACTCTAACCACTGCACTCACTGCCTCTCTGCTGGTCACTAAAATTTTTTTTTTGTAAATTCTGAAAGTGCTATAGAGATGTTAAGAAATGGGAGGATGCAGAGGGTGGGCAGGAGGGTCTAGGAGACTTCTCTGAAGAAGAAAGATTTAAGCTGCATTTTGAAGGATGTGTGGGAACTTGGAAAGGAGGAGGGGCATTCTAGGCTTGGAAACAGCATGGGCAAAGGATTGGCTGCAGAAATGAACCTGGCCTTTTTGGGGACAGTGAAGGGGACAAGCGTGTATTCAGTGTGTCTCTGGGCCAGGGCCCAGGCTGGACACTGGCCACGTAAACATCAGATGTGGTGTCTACCCTTAAAGGGGGCTTGATCTAATGAAGACATAGATTCATAGACAAGTAACAACAATCTGGTATGATGTTCTCAGGATATCTCATTGAATTCCCTGCTTACCTCTTAGGGCAGCTGGTGTTCTCCTCAGAAAAGGGCACTGAGGCTCAGCCAGATGAAGAGATTTGCTTAAGATCACAGACCTAGTAAGAGAGGGGAGGATATGTGAGCCATTGAGCAGGATAGATGGTTCCAGACCTGGGACCTCCAAGTTTTCTAGGGTCCCACAAAAGCATGAGACCTGAAAAATAATAAATTGGCTCCAAAATACCAAAGAAAGAAGATGACAAAACTTTTTTAAAGTTGAATTATAATGTCATTAATGTCAACTTCATTAATTTTCAGTTAACATTCATACACATTTCATTACAATTTGAAAATTTTCAGATTAAATTTTTTTCTTTTCCCAAGTATGGATAGTGATTATTGAGAAATCACGGACAATCATAAATTGAGGAAGTTACTTGTTGCCAAGTAATTTGAATTTCAAAGGGATAATTTATAGAAATCCTGTAGAATGTTTTCCAGCACGAAGAATTCAACTTATTGTGACAGGTTGGTGCATTCAAATGTTTGCTGTCCTGTGGGAGAGGGCCTCCTTCTTAGAGGAAGAGAGTTTGGCTGTAGAAAGGGCTAAATCAGCCCTGACTCCCAGACCCACACTGCCCTACAGAACCTCACCACCCTGCTCTCTGGCTGAGGCAGAGGATGTGTACGCGTGGAGGGAGATCAAAGGAAAATGATGTTGGAATAGCCAGCAGGGTCCAAAACAAGAAAGGCCTTGGCTGCCAGGTTAAAGAGTAATGGATAGCCCTGGAAGGAAGGTAAATAGGGAAGTCCCATGGCTCAATCACTGGGTGGTAGGCAGAGGAAGAATTGTGAGGGACAAGGGATGTGTGTGGAGAGAGGCTGAAGACAGGGCTGCCAATGAGGCAGCCTTTGCAGTGGTCCTGGCAGGAGCTGCCAGTGGCTGAACCACTGCATTGGCAGTGAGGTGGTGGTGGGGGGATGAAAACAGGAGCTACTCAGGAGATGGACTTCACAGATTCGGGTGTTGCTCTGCAATGGGCCGTTCCAGAGACAGTGAGGGATTGGGCTGATGCTGGGATTGGGTGCAGCAGGTGGTGGAGAGTGGCCAGTTTCAGAGGAAGAAGAATGGAGTTTGGAACCATAGATGGTCCCTCCTTGTTCCGCCTAGCTCTGGCCAAAATTTGGAGGAGATGGAATTCCTGTAACTTGGGGAAGAGTTCTTAGAAGTGGGTGATCATAGAGGAAGAAGAAAATCTGGGTTGCTGATTACTAATCTGCAAGTTGAGTCCTAAATTTGAACGGAGAAGAACAGCCAGATGGGCAGTGGAGTGAGCTTGACTTTTGAATAGGTAGAAGAAGCAAAGCTGGGGGTAGGAGACTTGCCTATGCTGGGCTTGGTCACATGTCAGCTGTGTGACCTTGTGCAAGTCACTTCCCCATTCTGTTCTGTCATATAAGATGCTGAGGTTAGATTCCTGGAGCAATACTCTGTGCATCTCAGATTCTGAGAATGCACAGTTCCTTGAATTGAAGCTGCTATAATTCAGAGATTCTGGTTTTAAGAACTATGCCTCTGTGATTCCTTAAAACCCTGGCTCCCCGGCTGTGAAACTGTCTGGCTGTCTGGATTCATTCTGTCAGCACATTGGGGATGGCGAGTAGGGAGAGAAGTGGGTGAAAGCTTCTTAAAAAAGAACTGAAGGCTGAGAACATGATGATCTGCTTCCAGCAACTCTCAGGCAATAAATATTGATGTGGCAGCACTTGTTCCTCCACCTCCTTAAGGCTGCCTTGGCCAGGGCTGCTTTCAATTAATGCTGGCTGAGCTGGCCCACCCAGGCCACCAATGGGGAGGTGGATGGGCTAGAAGGAAGGGCTCAGTTAAGGAGAAAGTCCAGGTCTCCAGACCTGGGGCAAGTATCTTCTGCTGGGAAAGGGAACAGGCAGGAAGACAAAAGTGAAAAGGGGGCTATTTCTGAAACTTCTTCAAGTAGGCCCTCCCAGGCTCTGGGCTCGGGGGTCTCCCAAATACCCTCCTGGAAGTAAATGCAGTTTTTAAAGTTACCCAGGAGAGAAGGTCTCTGGCCTCCATCTCCTTACCTGTTCAGTGGGCAGTCAATCCCACAAGATCTGCTAGCTCTGACAGGTTCAATGATAGCTCCCTGTCTCTGGAGTATTCTGTGAGCATTTTCACAGGAAAACAGAGGGGTGAATCCCACAGCCCCTTCCTCAAGGAGCTCTCAGGTAGTGAGGGAAGATTGGGGCATTTGCATAGAGATGAGACATGACAGAATGACAGCCCAGGTTTCTCCCATGGCCATGACCACATTCTCTGCAGTCCCCACAGGGAAGAATATGAGATGGGACTGGGGGGTGGGTCATACAGGGGATGCCAGGAGCAGGAGCTCTGCTTTCCTGCCTTTGGCTCTGTACCTGCGGCTATGACCTCAGAGCTCTGGTGGCTGCCCAGATGCTCTCTTGGGAGCGATCCAGGGCAGTCCTCTGGGTCTCTCTCTAAGCCTTATCTCCCCTTCTGTACAACTGACTGGTCTCTAAGGTTTTGTCAGTCCCCAGGACTCCTGACAGGCGGCTCTGCAGAGCCCATAGAGTAAAGATGGTCTCTTGGAGGCTCCCTGGCAGGTAGTGGGGACCCCATTCAGCCAGCAACTGAATGTCCTCCATGGCCCTGTGGCCCTTCTGAGTACCTGCCCTTGGGGCTGGGCCAGAGGTTGGGAGAGGCCCAGCCAGCTACTTCCCAGCATGCGGGCCTCTTCTATTGGGAGCCACTGTCCCTGCTCAGCCTCTGAGCACCACTGGACTCTGTGACTTTCCCTCTGGCTCATTTTTTCCAGGATTCTATGTGTCTATTATTGCTAGGATAGCTCTGAGAGTCTGTGATGCAAAGGTTACATCATTTTAAGGTTCTGCAATTCTAATAGATTCCCAAGTACTTACGTTCTATTATTCTAAGATTCTATGCCTCAGATGGTCTTTTGTGTGTGTGTGTGTGTGTGTGTGTGTGTGTGTGCATTAGGTGAAAGTTTACAGAACAAATTAGATTCCCATTCGATAGTTTGTGCTTCATGGCCTTCGTTTTATTCCCTACAATGTGTCAGCAGTCTCCCCATTTCCGCCCTAGTTTCCTCATTTTCTTTTGTCCAGATTTTCTACCACTTCTTGCCTTCTCGTCTTTGCTTTTGTGCAAATATTGCCCTTTTGACCTCGTATAATTGACTGTCCTGAGGAGCATATCCTCTTGGGTGTTATTGTTTATTTTAGGGGCTTGTCTATTATTTGGCTGGAAGGTGGTCTCAGGGGATGGCTTCAATTTCAGGTCAGAAGGGTTTCTTAGGGCCATAGTCTTGGGGGTTCCTCCAGTCTCTGTCAGACCAGTAAGTCTGGTCTTTTTTGTAAATTTTATTTTTTATTCCACATTTTTCTCCTGCTCTCTCCAGGACCCTCTGTTGTGATCCCAGTCGGAGTAGTGCCTCAAATGGTCTTGACTCCCAAAACTGACATTTCTAAATGGCTATGATTTTGTCCTAAGAGTCTATGGTCTATGAAATCCATTAGACAATCCAGTTGTTAACCTTGATGTACTTCGTGAGAATGGTCAGGGGTGGGGGACAGGAGTAGGAGATGTCAATGGTCCTTAAAACCCAAGACCTAGGGCTGATTCACTGGGATCTGCCCAGTTGGGAGGACTGCCCATTCCCCTGGGACTTTGTGTTCTTTCTGCAGCCTCTGTAACTTCTGAGGTGACGTAAGCCTTCCTTGCCCCAGTGCCTTTTCCTTGAAGACACTGCCTTTAGACCCCTCCCATCCCTGCTGTGTCTTCCTCATCCCCAGCAATCCAGGGCTTGTGACTCCATCCTCGCCCCACCTCATCTCTTCAAGGTAAAGGGACCTCAGTGATCATCCAGTTCAACCCCCCACTCCATTTTGTAGATGGGTGGATTGAGGTCCAGTGAGGGTCAAGGATGTGCCCAGAGCTCAGCTAGTACTACTGGCCCCTGCACCCATCTGTACAAGGCCATTTTCTGACCCCAAAGGGCTGAGGAGATACTTCCCATTCTGACCTGGTACAGATCAGAGCTTCCTCAAACGTTGGGGCTGGAGGGCATTGGGGTGATCTCCTTGAATGATTTTCAAACTGTACCCCACAGAATCCAAAAGGTACCACCACAGACAGAATGAGGATAGGTGTCTACCCAGCAGAGCTAAGCGTCTTCCACCTCCTTACGTGCACACACACACACACACACACACACACACACACACACGTACTTCAGTCAGAGTGATTCTACT